TTTGAGCATAAAGACAGAGGGTATTAAAAGGATAGAATTTTCTTTTATTAAGGGATGGATTTAGTTTAATTTGAATCGAATAGGTTTTACAATAGGGAAGCTGATAATACATAACACAGTATCATTTGACAAGATAACGGTTTGTTTGTTAAACTTTAATTGATTTAAGGGTTCTTCTTCATCGGTAGACAGTAGTTGGCTTTTTGAATAAATTTCTTGAAGATGTTTAATTATTTCGTTAATTTGGATATTAGAAATGGTTTCGAAATTTGGAATATTTTCGCGGGCGAAAGTGATTGATCGTTTCAAAAGTTGCAAATAGTTTAAGAGATTACTTGCAATTTGAGTCAAATGTAATACATTTATTTCTTTTTGAAGGCTAGTTGTTGCAGCATTAAATGACTTACTATAATTTTCTTGAACAGTATTAATCAAATTTACGTAGTCATTAGAAATATGATGGGCTAATGACAAATACTGGTCTTGTTTTTCAATTGTTTTCTTCTGATTTTCAAAAAGTTTATACATGTTCGATTTGTTAGATGTTTTGGTATAAATTTCTCTTGGTAATTCAGGAATAGGGTCGCTTTGTTGATTAATTTTGTCTAACGCTTTTTGATTTCTTTCTAAATTTCGATTTTTAACTTTCTCATATAATACTGAGAGTTCCTTGATTCTGTTATTTATGTAATTGCTAGGGTGTTGTTGAACTCAGGAAGTTCCAAGTTCGTTATGTCTTTATAGGGTCCATGAATTACTTCAAAGGGCCTAAATTTGGTGGTAGATTAAATTGAGTTGTTATACATGAAAATAGATTGTATCATTAAATTTGGAATTGTTTCTTCAGGGTTGGTTTATTTCAAAATTGTTAATTTTTCTTTTAATGTGCCGTGAATTCTTTCAAGTGGACTGATAGTAGTCGGGTTGCCTGTGCTTGCAAAGTGCAAGTCGATGTGATAAAGTTTACAAAAGTCTTTGAGATGAGGGTTGTAAAATTCTGTCCCTATGTCAACTAAAATTTTGCCTGGAAGATTATGGTGGTTAATGAAATGTCTTAATTTATTAACTATGGTAATGCCATTTTTGTCTGTTATGTGATATGCTTGCGCATATATACTGAAATGATCGAAAAATGTCAAACATGTGTTGTTCTCAATAGTAAATACATCCATCATTATTATTTCAAAAGGTTTTGAAGATACCATGGGTCCTTTGTATGGTGGTTTATAGGGGTTTCGTTCATATTTTGATTTTAAACACATCGCATTTACTGATGTAAAGCGTGATTAATTTCTTTAAATTTGGATAATAAAATTTTGTTCTGAAATGGGAATAGGTCTCTTCGATACCATTATGATTAGTATCATGATAGTTCGATATTAATTCAAGAGCCTTTTCTCTATTATAGGGTGTTAAGTCCAAAAGGGTTTTCGTAAAAATTACTTTATTGTTTTGTTCAAATAATACTTCATGTAATGTTTGAAATACAGAGTGTTAAAAAGCGTCGTTAATTTTGTTGTCAAAATGTATTCCAACTTGTATAGGTGAATGGTGTGTTTGTTAATTGATGTTTCAGCCAAAATAAAGTTTGTTCGTCTTCTAAAGTAATATTAATTCTGAATCTAGCATGTGGTAGGGTTTTTGTTGTCAGTTTATGTTTTCCTGGGGAAAACAATATAAAAACAGGAGATACAGTAATTGTACTCACGTTTTAAAATCCTCCCAATACTTCTGATCCTTTAGTAGAACGTTTCGTCAGAAATTGTCCAGTCGAAGGTGAAGGACTTTTCAGGTGATGAAATGATGTTCCAGGGGTCGGAAGTCTTTTCCAAGGGTGTTGGTTCCTGATGTGGATAGAGAGTTGAAACTCTGAGGTGTTTGTTTTAACACATTTATTTGGTTCGGTTTTCAAGAACCTCGATTACACTTTATTATCTTAATTATTACACACTATTGATGGCTAATGAACGAGTTACATAGGTTTGACCTATAAAGTAGACTGTTGAATGAATGANTAACACATTTATTTGGTTCGGTTTTCAAGAACCTCGATTACACTTTATTATCTTAATTATTACACACTATTGATGGCTAATGAACGAGTTACATAGGTTTGACCTATAAAGTAGACTGTTGAATGAATGAGAAAATCATGAGCATATATACTAATTGGATATGTCATGGCCGGTGGTATAATCCATAGGTAGGGGCAAAGGTTGCTGGATGTAACTATACGGTATAATAATGTACATGCTGTTTTTATTAACATCTTCGTTACCGAGTTGATAATGACTTTTTCTTGCCCAGATTATGTTCTTTACATAATTATTTGTCTTCTTCATTATTATACTTGTCATCGTCATTTTGAATGAACAATGAATCGTTGGAATTCTCCGTTAAATATATTTGAGGCTCCAATATGTCATCATCTGTGAACATGATTGTTGCAGAAACTAGACCAAACTCTAATTACATTGAGGTTGGTCTTCTATACTGAAAAGGGAAAAATGTGTCCTACGTCACTTAATTACCTATTAATAGTATTAGTTTCCGTATGTAACACCCTTTTTTTAGACGATAATTAATTCAATGAGGTAATTATAGCAGAGAAAAATCTAACTTTAACATTACATAAAATAATTAGATACAGATGATTCCTTAATTCTAAGATCTTCGAATTCATTATTGAAATTACAAGTAATTGTTAATTTTAAAATAATAAAACGGCAACCAGCTTATTTGATCCTTAATGGAGGTGTCCAGTAGGCTGGCTTCAATTCCTGGGTGATTGGTATCATTTCCATGGCCTCAGTTTGTGTGGTTGTTTGGCGGTCTGACCTTTGGGGTTGGCACACGGTCGTGGAGCTAGTGCCTTGATTCCTGGGATTTCTCGAGTCGTACGTGTTGCAATTAATAATTTGGAGGCAGGGTATATGGTTTCCAGTTGATTGACATCGTCTCCATGGTGAAATTAGGTTTAACCAGTTCGGATAGCAACATCAGCAGAGGAAGAGAATAACGATAAAATCGCACCCAGTAATGACAAGATGGCGTATAGCCAATTTCTTTGTAGTTGGATCAACAGCTTGTTTAGTTGTAATGTTGACGGAGTTTGAAAACTGTTGCGGATTCTCTCGTTCTAAATTCAAGTTATCATGTTTGAGAGGACCCATGTGGATGGGTTCCAATTTAAAGTCTTCAATGGGTTCCATTTCCTGTTGATAGCAATCCATGGGAATTTCGGGTAGAGTCACTTTCACAGTAATGTTTGTAGTTACTTCTTGTTGTGCTACTATTTTGACCCCATTATTGAGGTAACTAACACAACGGGGTTCCATCTGGATGAAACATGTAGAAGGTAGTTGTTGTTTGTCCATCCCTTGCCCAGAACATTTAGATGTTAGACTTCCGTTTATTGTGAAATAAAACAACCATAGATTGTCATCTACGTTTTGTAGTAATTCTTCCTTTAGTCGTAGTTGGACGATTTCGTTAAGGACTGATACCATTTCAAGAATTAGTTGAGCTGTATCGAGGACTTGTAGAGAGTATTTTGATTTTGCGCTCATTTTTCTATTTCATCGAAGTTTTTGCTGATAGATTGTATGTATTTCTCTATAAAATGTATATAGGTGGATTTATATTAAATAATAGCCTTGATTGTTAATTAATATTTTTATTTTGGAATAAGCGTTACACATATTAGATATTTATCAAACAAAATTTCTAATTTTATGTAAAATTAGTTTCTTAATTAACAAATAAAGCAACATAATATCTTCTTATCTTTAACAAACATTGATAAATATTTCTTCTTCGTTAAATAAAAGAATAGGAACAGGAACAGACTAAGTAATGTTGTTGTTGTTCTAAAAGGCGAGATATCATATAGTACGTGGAATTCCATCTGGTACATACGTCTTGGACAAGCTGGTGGTTTGATAAATTTAGTTCTTGCTGCAAATCACGTAGTTTTATTTGAGCTTGATTAGAGTGGTTAAAATATGTGACAATTCTTCTTGATTTTAGAAGTATTTGTGCCATAGTATCATTTTTCAAAGCAGTATTGATTGCCAATTGTAGAGTAGGGGAAACTGGGGACACTTGATCACCATTTTGGTTTCTTGCTTATATTTTTTTCAAATTTAGTTCTTTAAAAATAATACATACATGTTTTTTACTACATGCATGTTCCCCATTATTTGATTTTTATATTTATGAGTGCTTCATTTTTTTTTGCATTTTCCCAAAACTTTCCAAAAGGAACAAGTGTCCCATATTCTGGGAGACTTGATCCCAGTAACGGGTAGACTTGATCATAGGGGATCAAGTCTCCCTAACGCAAACTTTACATAAATGAAAACCCGGTTTGGTTATAAAAGTATCATTTATTATAACAATATTATGAATATAATTAGCTTTATATGTCTCAAGTATTAATTTTAGTGACTATTAAGTCTCAATCTCAATGTAAGTTCTACATTTTCATAAATCTAATAAGTATTAACAGGTTTTATTGAAGTATTTTGTAATAACTCTATTCATATCACAAATTATTAACTCTTAAAATGGAGCTTCAAAAGTCTTAGCAGAGTCTCTATGAATTAACCATCACCTAAAGGTTAGACTTACATTAGCAACATTGGAAAATCACTTTGGTACTTGAATAACTTCTAATAGGTACTCAAACTTTTTAAATCACTAACTATCATTAACTCTCTTTATATTAATCTCAAGGAAATGTAACAAATATATATAACTTTGACAACTAGAAACTACTAATAATAAAAAAAAGGAACTACTAATAACATCAGGTATTCATATCACACATTTGCATTGCAAGATTTAAGATTTATCTAATCAAAAAGTAACAAATAGTTTAAATCTAAATTTAAAAACGTGTGCACTCTTTTTAGGTAACAGCCTAACGTTGAATATTAAATTTTCTTAAAGATTTAGTAAAATTAAATGCGATCACTCGTTTGCTGTTAGACTTGAACTCAGGTGGATTTATTTTTTTTTTACTATTTGGTATCTAGCCACTTCAGCAACATCGTCTTTTAGAGGCCACTTGAATTTATTGTCGTCAATTTTTTTTGCAAATTTTATAATGTAACCAGAATCTGTAACAGACTGAATTTGTCCAACATAACGATGTACCAAATTTTTCATTGATATTAAATTGACAATAACCCAATCGTAAGTTTCTGGTGTCATGTCATTTCCACGATCATCTTCAGATTCACAACTAGATGAAATATCATATTCGTCATCATTTTCATCTTCAGACATATCATAAGTGGAATGTGGTGATGGAGGAAATTCATTATTATCTTCCGATGAAGATTTTTCCTTTTGCGTAAACCCTTTTAAGTTCCGTTTACCTCTATTCACCTTTTTGTCGACTGGTTTATTTATCTTTTTGTTCATTTTTTCTCTTCTTATTAATAGTTCCTCAACCAACTTTTCTTTTTCAGGTGTATCAGTCAGGATTTTTGTTGATCCTTTTTTACGACCTTTCTGGGTTACCTTTCGGCAACCAGCTTTCGGGAATGGTTTTATTTCCTCAGGAGTCTTAAAACATTTCAACATTTTCGAACAACCTGGTTGTGGACTTGATGGAGCAGCTCTCTTTGTAGGAGTTTTGTGTGTACTAGATATCAGGATCTCATTTTGATTGACAGAGTCTGATGTGAATTGTTCCGGTATAATCGCATCTTGTGTGGTATTTTCAGGTTCTTTCTGGTTAATTTCAAGGTCTTGACGTGTTAATGTTGCATCAGATAGAATTGATGTTGAAGCTGACCGTTGTGGAGACAAAAGCTCACAGTTTTGTGATTGGTCATTCTCATCAGTGCGTTCTGGATTTGTTTCAGTAACTAAAGGCCTGTCCGTAACATACGACGAGAGAAATTCATCATCGGTGAAAATGTCTTTATTGAAGGGATAAATCCCAGTTACTCGAAATCCACTCAGAGTATTCTGAGGTGTAAAAGCTTTTGGAAATGCTTTCCCAAGTAATTCCGATGTTTCATAAATCGTTATAGTTTTGCCAGGATTCTGGTCCATCCAATCGCTACAAGCAGTATCATAATAGGCTTTGAGTGGTCCAAACACTGTTATGAGACGTGTGGGGAGGTATTGTCGATAGACTTATACCATTCTCTTTAGCGAAGTTTAATGATTCTATGCTTATATGACTGTCATGATTATCCATTATAATCAACATCGGACACTCAACTGAACATTTGGTGTATTTTTTAAAATGTTGTAAAAATTTTATAAAATTCTCAGCAGTCATCCAGCCTGAAGGAAATACGCTCGCATTTGTACCTGCAGGTGCACCGTTCAACATACGATCTTGCCAGTTCTTGCGTGGAAAGATCAGGAATGGAGGAATGTATCCTCTCATTGCATTTGTAGCACAGCACGCAGTTACCAATTCACCACGTTCACCTGGTGTCATCTTCCCTATTTGCTTTACACCTTTAGTAGCAACAATTTTCTTAGGTTTATGTACAGTACTCAGCCCCGTCTCGTCAATGTTCCAGATAGCTTCCGGTCCAAAATGATACTTAACCAATAGTTTTTGTAAATTTTCAAAGAAACAGCCAATGTTATGTTTATTGAAGCTAGTCGATCTACTCAGGCTGGTCGCTTCAGGTACACGTAGTGACAATTGTGTATTTCTTTTCATAAAGCCATAGAACCAATCGTACGACGCAATATTATTGGCCCATTTACATATTTTCTCATCTGCCTTTTGGTTTTGAATAGCCAACTGATATGCTAGCTGCCGAACACACAGAGAAGATAACCCATGATGGAGTTTGCTAGCTTTTTCTAGGTACTTGGCTAAATGCAACTCCTCTTCTTTAGTGAAGACTTGGGACTGTCTATAATTAGGCTCGTATGTAATCTCATTTTCCTGGTCTTTATGTTTTCTAGCATACCTTTTGAGTGTCATTATTGGGACGTTATACACTTTGGCAGTACCTTTGATCGTATTTCCCTCCAATACCTTGTTCACAGCTTCTTTGAGAATTTGTGGGTCAACACGTATACGTGGTTTTGCATCTTCTTTTCTTTTATATGTTCTTCCCAAAAAAAGAAAACTGACAAATTGAATGTATGGGACACTTGATCCCGGGATCAAGTGTACCCCATCTTGCCGTGATCAAGTGTACCCGAGAGTGCTCTTTTAAAAAATATATTTTTTTCATGTCAAGAGAAAACGTTAATCAGATAAAATACATGTACATGCAAACTTTAATAAACTACTTTCAATGATTTTGACACATACTCAGGGAATTATTCATTCAGTTATTTAAAAAAAACAAATGAAAAACTTACTGAAACACATGCTGACACAGGAAAATAAAAATGGCTGCACTGCTCTGAAGTTGTCTACATGATGATGTCAAAATGACGTTTTTAGTTCACCATAGACAACAAAGACTTATGTTGCCAATATAAAAAATAGAAAAAGCGTTTAGTTTTTGATTTGTCACTGGGTGATCAAGTCTCCCAAGGGAACATGTCTCCCCAGTCTCCCCTATGTATGAAAGAAGGTACCCCCTTAAAAACTGAATCATCGATTGCTTTCTTCACATTTCTGCCGTTGTCTCGCACAACGGCGTGAATTTTGGTCGTATCTATATCCCACAAAGTTGGAATTTCTCCTAAACAGTTTTTTATATTATTAGCAGTATGTGTTTCAGGGAAATGTTTCATTTGCAATAGTGCGTGATGATATTTGAAACTATCGTCAAGCCAGTGAGCTGTAAAATTAAAAAAACTTTCCTTATTATTTACATTTGTGTTGGACAGCTCTTTCAGCACCTTACAAGAAAACAAAATTCTGCCTTGAACAGCTCTTTCAGCACCTTACAAGACAACATAATTCTGTCTTGTACAGTTCCTTCAGCACCTTACACGAGGGTACAACTATTTGTCTTGTGCAGCTCGTTCAGCACCTTACATAAAAGAAGACTCTTTGTTTTGTATAGCTCTTTCAGCACCTTACAAGAAAACAAAACTGTCTTGTACAGCTCTTTCGTACAGCTCATTCAGCACCTTACATAAAAGAAGACTCTTTGTCTTTGTATAGCTCTTTCAGCACCTTACAAGAAAACAAAACTGTCTTGTACAGCTCTTTCGTACAGCTCATTCAGCACCTTACATAAAAGAAGACTCTTTGTCTTGGACAGCTCTTTCAGCACCTTACAAGAAAACAAAACTCTGCGTACAGCTTTTTCAGCACCTTACAAGAAAACAAAATTGTCTTGTACAGCTGCTTCGTACAGCTCTTTCAGCACCTTACAAGAAAACATAACTCTGTCTTGTACAGTTCCTTCAGCACCTTACACGAGGGTACAACTGTTTGTCTTGTTCAGCTCCTTCAGCACCTTACATAAAATAGGACTCTTTCTCTTGTACAGCTCTTTCAGCACCTTACGAGAAAACAAAACTGTCTTGTACAGCTATTTCAGCACCTTACAAGAAAATAAAATTGTCTTGCACACCTCTTTCGTACAGCTCTTTCAGCACTTTACATAAAAGAAGACTCTTTGTCTTGTACAGTTCTTTCAGCACCTTACACGAGAGCAAAACTATTTGTCATGTACAGCTCTTTCAGCACCTTACAAGAAAACAAAACTGTCTTGTACAGCTCTTTCGTACAACTCTTTCAGCACCTTACAAGAAAACATAACTCTGTCTTGTATAGTTCCTTCAGCACCTTACACGAGGGTACAACTATTTGTCTTGTGCAGCTCTTTCAGCACCTTACATAAAAGAAGACTCTTTGTCTTGTACTGCTCTTTCAGCACATTACAAGAAAATAAAACTCTTTGTCTTGTACAGCTCTTTCAGCACCTTACAAGAAAACAAAACTCTTTGTCTGGTACAGCTCTTTCAGCACCTTACACGAGAGCAAAACTATTTGTCTTGTACAGATCTTTCAGCACCTTACAAGAAAACAAAACTCTTTCAGCACCTTACACAAGAGCAAAAGGGTGATTATACAAAAGTTGGGTAACTCTTGAGGATATTTTGTTTACTATAGTTATTAAATTAAATTTCTACAAATTCGGGTGTATAAGATAGCTAATCTAACGAATATATTGTTCCAAATCGGGCCAGTCACTTTTTTAAGTAGATTGTGAGATATTTCAAATTTTCAGAATTTGACTGCCAAGGGACTGACGAGGGTAACATAGTACTGACAAAATACACCATTTTGTAAGAATTATAATAAAATTTAATAAAAATTGGTACAAATCTCTTAGGATTTAATAATGGCACATGTCTTTTAAGTATTAAAATCACTTAGTAACAATTAAAAATAATTATTAATATGCAATACTGGGAGAAAATACTATCTTAGTTTTCAAAACAGCCTTTTGACATGTAACGTAACGTTATTCACTTAACTTTTACTACTTTGACTTAGTTTTACTTAACATTTCTAAGTAATCAACAAACAATAGAAACAAAAATCTAACAATATTTATCTTAAAAGTACTATTATCATGAAATTAAGAACAATAACAATATAATACTATGAAAGTCAACTATCCCAGTCTTCATAACAGCCTTTTGAGATTTTTATAATGTTATATTACTTAACTTTAATATTATTTTGAGGTAATTTTACTTAAAAGTACGTATTTTCTAATAAATCAAGTAAATATAATAAGCTATGCCTTAAAAGCATCAACAAAGATAGTAGTAATTAGAATAATATGAGATCTTTTTCTCCACAAAAAAACGAAAAATAAAGGATCAAAATAGTGCAAAAATAAAAAATTAATTTTCGAAAACATCAATTTTTTCCTGAAATTGATAATAAACTCTCTTCCCTTTTGTAATGAGGTTTGGTACGGGTAGTTTTTTTATTATTTGATCCACGGGAACATCTGACACATCTCTTTCATCCAATTTAAACAGAGTGCCATTCTGGTTACAAATTTTGAGAAAAGTTACGCTTACTTCACCGTCTTCATCATCAACCGAAGAGCAGACCGCTGCATAATGATATTCTGTTTTCTTTGTCATATATTTGACCAAAACATAATCACCACTACTATAACGACTTTGATGGTGCGAATAACCGCTAGTTCCTGGTGCCGATAGATCTCTATCCAATTTAGAGCGATCGTCATTGTCTTTAACGTATGTAGATAGTGGTACATCATCTTCAGAGTCTGAGAATACGGTAGAAGTATTTAGACGTGTACTATTTATAGCACATAATTCTGTCTGATAATTAATAGATCCTAACTTGTAATGATTACATCCATCGGTATGACAAAAACAACTTAGTGACTTCATTGTAAGATTGTTGGGAATATAAGCTGTGCCAGTCACCTGATGCACCAACAGTGTCCCTTTAAAAGCGACCATTTCGGACGACTTATCATTAATGATGGTGTTCATCTGCTCAATTTCACACTCTTCGATCACATCCATTTTTATACCTGGGCATCTTTCACGAATGACAGTAGCGAACTCATTCAGGTTAGTTATATCTCCTCCTGTAGCAATCACTTGGTCTGCTGTTCGTTTACAAGTGGCCCCTACACCATCGGGTGCCCCCTTCCCATGTCCAGCTTCATGAAAGTTCCAGGTATATCTTATAATATTAGGGAGAATGTCTTGCAGTTTACAGCCTAATACATAAAACATAGATTTGTTCCTGTATTGCGTTACAGGACCGTCGCTGAGAAAGTGAATGTTTTCAATATTTGATGGCAGTGATGCCAGCACAGGTTTTAGATGGGCCCAAATTGCTCCAGCGTTGTGAGACAAATTAGTCGAGATAGTGCAGTGTGAAATAACGGAGTTTTTTAGATAAACGACAACAGTATGTAATGAAATTTGAGTTCGCGAACCGCCGAAATGGAAGGATTGAATTTCTTGGTTGTATTTAGTACAAAAATTTTCGGAAAAATCCATATGTACAATGACATCGGTTTCAGATAAAGACTCTTTCAATTGCTTAATGGCATTGTACTGATGTAATATGTTAAAAGAATGCCGGAAAAATTTAACCATATCATTTTCTAGTTTTGTAATGGCATTTCTAGGTGACATTTCCTGTGTTTCTATTTTACATTTCATCACAAATCGTCCTTTCTTCGTTTTCAGATCTGTTATGGACTCTTTCTTACTCACCCACTGTTTTATTAATATTGGTTTTGAGTTATCGAATTCTGTATAAGTCAGAGTTTTTGAGCAACAGTTATCACATGTTCTCTCTAGACATCTTTCAGAATATCGATCACAACAAAGCAGTTCCAACATATTTTGATGATTACTCACTGTTGTAAGTATATTTGCCTTCTTTAGAGCAGCAAGTTGAAGGTCCATGTTTTCGTGAATCGTGCAACTACAAGTTTCACGGTTTGACAATGTAGGGGGTACCACCCAAAATGGTCGAAGTCGGGTAAATAGGGAATAACTGATTACACATGGAGTGGTTTTCAAAAATTTCTTATGAAGATTTTTTATGGTATCAAGTAAATATCTCTTCTGTTTTTTGACTTGTTTACGAGACACAAATTCTTTCTTTCCTGCAGCTTGACGGCTGTTAGAATCATCTTCGAAAAATTTCTGCACTAATCCTTGTATTCTAATTTTGCTTTTATTTATTTTTTTATTTGTCAGATTATGTCCAGTTTTTTTATAGGTGACTGCTTTGTTTTTTATTCTCCATAGTTTGTATTTGTCTACTAAATTTCCAGATATAACTTGTTTAAATTTGTTTCTTTCTTCACGAGTCTTTAGTTTAGGGTAGTTTTCTTCCAATTGTGTTTTAATAATTTCCCCAAAAAGGGCCTTCTTCACTAATTCTTTCTTTTTAGTTATATCTTCACTCATGTCTTCAATTCTAGTCTTTGGCGTTTTTTCAACAGATTTTATTACTTTTTTTAGCTGCTTTTTGACTCGTTTATACTTTTGACGCTGAGTATTTAGTTTAGTTTTAAGCTTTGAAACTGTAGCCTTCATCTTTTTTATTTCCTTGTTTCTAAATTTTCTCTGTCTTTCACTTCTCTTTT